AAACTAACGCTTTTCCCATCAAAAAATGTTTGTCAAGGCATTGGCAAGGAAAAGAATATTAATACCTAATGCAATCGGTTACCTGGATCTCAATATAATGTGCAATGACCCATGACGGTAGTGAGTTCATTAGCAGAAACCCTTCTTTCCAGAACATCACTGCAAACTTCAAATAAAACAGGCAATATGGCGCAGCATCACACGATGTTTAAAATCAACCAGACTCTGGCAACACCCTTCCCTTGTACTTCTGCCTCAGCTCCAAATGCATTTGTTTGGAATAAAATTATTCAAGATCCTGGCTTATGGAAATTGCAACGCTGTGATTACTTCCTCCCGTAACACCGCCACGGGCAGCGCAGAGTTATTTCAGAACCACAAACTCTGAGGCCTTACACCGGAAACGGACTCAATCGCGGGGACGCTTGCAGGACTTGGCAGACTGAGAAAGGAAAACGCCACACACGTAGCCCCAACATCTCTAACCGCAGCGAGCAGCAGCCGGTTTCTGTCTCTCACACGGCATCTAGATCGGGGCAACCTGGCCGCAGAGTTCTCACTTGCTACTGGGCTTTCAGTTTTTACACACGTCCTCCATCCGATGCTACTGCCCGCTGCTTCTAACACAGCTCTGCCGAAAAGGAAAACCGGCGGGGCGCAGAGGGCGACGGAGGCCGCGGGGCTGCGACGCTGAGTAGGGGCTCACCCGTGAATTGAGGCCGGTCGGCGAAGCCTGACACGCAGCCAAGGAAGTAACGGCTGACAACAATCCCTCTCGCGGGTAACCGGAGTGGAAATTTGTACTTATCGGGGAAAAGAAACCAAACCACTGTTGTTCTTCTTAAGGCGGAGCGAGAGAGAGGGGAAACCAGGTAGGGAGGCAATTGTCTTCCCGCCCCGCCAGGAATTCGGTCTCGAGCTCTGACGCCCAAATCCATCCCCGAGCTTCCAGAAAAAAAACGAGGATTACGCCCAATTGTTTTGACGGTCTGGATAACGAAGCAGAAAAATCCCAGTAAGCACCCGGTGCGGCAATACAGATCGGGTAAAGATCTCTCTTAGTAAAAACTCCAAAAACACCCAAGCACCGAACCGCAATAAATAGTGAGCTAACCAGCTAAAATGAAAAGTGTTGCTTTAGCTATTGGATTTTTTTTTTTCCCCCTTGCAGAGGAATCGGTGCTATTACAGACTGCTTCCAAGGAAAGGATACAGCTCATCGCGCTGGGAAACGCGGGACTGCAACACGCGCTTCTGTTTTACCTTTTTCCATAATAAAGTTCTACAACGGAAAGCCGTGAACGCCCCCAAAGAGTGTGGAAATGAGGACAATGAAATTAGCCCTGTTAGGGATCTTAAATAACCTGTTACGGTTTTACTTGCCATGTCGTAGAGCTAAACAATGAGTCCTTCCTAAACAAAAAATTAACGCGGCTTTAGGAATGGTAAAACGTGTTACTTATTCCAGTCACACCCGCTTGGAGCAGATATTTTCAAAGACTAAGCCCTTTCTGATAAAGACATGACTACACCCTGATCTTCATCATTTTTCGCGTCTGCAGCGCTGAAACCAGGTACGCGCCACAGGCGGAGCAGCCGCTGCCAGCTGGGGCTCCCCGGGGGAGCCCACCCCC